TTAAGTCTGATCCCTTTAAAAGTTACAACCCCTTTCACCATAAACCGTGTTAACGCTACTCCTCCGATACCGTAAACCGAAGAGATACCAAACTTTCTCCAGTGGCTTCGACTACTTTAGAACTCTCTCCAATCTATTCATTGCAAAAGGGTCCTTCGATTCCTACTATCAGTTATCGCCCCCGAAAGTTTATTTCCTGTTTTCGTTTAATGAATTTTTTTCTAACGATAATTCGTAGAGCCATGGGACTAACTACATTAGAGTCTTTAACCTTTTACCTTGAAATTCAGGTCAAAGTCAAAGGTTAAGGTCATTTAAAAGTTGGCCCTTCTATACTCATTAAAACATCCAAATATGAAACAGATGTGGCAGTGTCTTTGGTGTCTTTTACGACTTTATTTACTGGAATATATCGAATCGACATATAAATGAAAGTAGTCGACATTGTAAATAGCTGAGGGGAAGAAATATCAAATAGGTGGGGACAAAGGTCAATTAAGAAAGAACTGTACTTATCCATTTTTTTTCATTTTTAACCTATATTTTGATCATATCTTTTCCCAACATCCGGTGGTCATAGTATGAAATAATTAAATGTTTTCTACTTAATTTTTTTTCTTATTTTAGCCTGTTGATGCTTTGCATTGTATTAGTTAATTTGTCAATATTTGCCAGTTTATGCCCCAACTAAAGACAGGGATGAGGAAAAAATATTCATAGTGTTCTCATCAATGAGATGTTTCAAACCCAGTTTGGAAAGAATAGGTCATGCAGTTTTCAAGCATGTTTTATAAAATGTGTGTGTTTTTCTCCCCTGTATTTTAGAATATATAGTATTTTAAAAATTATGGATATATTAATTACTTTTCATGTGATTTTTAATTGAAAAGCATTGAAATGGCTCTAATTTTTACATACTAATTATTAGACTTCAATTATAGCTATATGGGAACAATTAAGGAATGAAGTTAATAACTACCCAAGTGATATTCTGTAAGAAAGCTCCCCCTTTTTGTATTCTGAATTTGCATGTTTCATTTTGGACAGTAGTTTAGTTTCAGCAGAGAAGTTGTAAAAGTAAAATCAACAAGGATTTTCCAAAAATTTAACAAGTACGGTTATTGGGATATTAATGTACGTGAATCGCCGATCTCGTATCATTGCAGTGTAAAATCGATTAGAAATATTAATTAAATACAATGTATGGTAATAATAAATAGTTGTTTAGCCAGTTTAAAAAAGGGGGAGGTTAGAAAATTATTTTTTTTAAAAAATCCCGTGTTTTTAACGTAAATACAGGTGTTTGAAACTAAACAATTAATTTAATTAATTAAAGCTGTTATTTTTTATGTCCTAAAGGACGAAACAATCATCACGGCATTAAAGTTTTAGAAAATATTCAAAGTTATATGCTGCACTGTAAAATGATTATTTTTAAACTATGAAGGCAGCTATCACGGAGAAAAAAAATCAATGCCGTTTTTTCCGTTTCAAAATATATAAAATCTAATAATTAATTAAAAAAAAAAGACCATCTTTTTCTATGAAATAATCTCCCGTCATACATGTACATGTATAAAACAACGTAATTATTCGTTGATTTTTATGCCCCTGTATCGAAGATTCAGGAGTATATAGTTTTTGCCCTGTCCATCCGTCTGTCTGTTTGTCCGCAAAAACTTTAACCTTGGCCATAACTTTTGAACGGTTGGTGCTAGGGCTTTCATACTTCACATGTGTAATTCTTGTGACAAGAACTTCCTTTTGATACCAACAACTTTGACCCTTTGACCTTGGATTCTGACCTACTTTTGGAAAACTTTAACCTTGGCCATAACTTTTGAACAATTGGTGCTAGGGCTTTCATTTTTCACATGTGTAATTCTTGTGACAAGACCTTCCTTTGGATACCAACAACTTTGACCATTTGACCTTGGAGTTTGACCTACTTTTTGAAAACTATAACCTTGGTCATAACTTTTGAACGATTGGTGCTTCAGCTTTCATATTTTGCCTGTGTATTTCTTGGGAGAAGGCCTTTCCTTCTTTGCCTACTTTGGAAACCAACATATTTGATTTGCATTTGAGAAAGTTTAACCTTTGCTATAAGTTGCCATACGAGGGCATCAGTGTTTCACAAACACATCTTGTTTTTCCCCTGGATTAATTTTTAAATTATAAAAAAGTTTTACTAAATATGTAAAATTACATTTTTAAATAAATATGGTTGAATATCGAAAGTTGGGTTTTATTTCTTATTTCTTTTTGTGTACGTTTTAGGAAAAACAAGATATAGGTAACAACTGCATTGTCTGGTCGGTTGAAAGCCGTACACGGTGTATAAAATGTGTTAACACCTCGGGTCGTAACATAAAGCTTGCTACGTGTTTGACTTAAGTACGGTCATAAGTATGTTTAGGTGCAATCTTAAGACCTGTATGGGCGGCGGAAAGGGTAAAAAAGATGTTAATGCAAAACTAACAACTAATTTTAAAAACATACTGAAATACAAAACAGACCACCTTCAAACAAAATCAACAGACTCGTTTGCAGAATCAACAGACTCCGATGCAAAACCAACGATCAGCGATGCAAAACCAACATTTATTCACTGAATTGACGCTAGATGGCGTGCAAAGAGGCGCGCGAGATGTAAATTGCTATGAACGTCATGATTATGAGGGTACTTTCTTATGATATGGCGACCAACAGAATAGACGAGGAAGTTGATGTTGTAAAAAAGAATTTTATCGCTCGCTTGACCCATATCTTAGCCAGACTACACCCACTTATATACTCTAGTGACCCTAGTGTTCAATTAGAGTATGTTATGCATCAAATGCACAGTTTATGCACAAGTACTTGTGGACAGGACCCCCCCCCCCCCCCCCGATATTCAACCCCGAGGTTGTTGGACATTTTTTTTCAGAAATTATATTTATTACACTTATTCATCATGTGTACCATAGGAAAAAATCGTGAAATCCCCAAAATAATCGTTCCACACAAAAATACCCCACTATACATTATAAGAGAGAAAGGTATGCCACTCCGGTTTGTTTACGTTGTACCCCGACTGGTCTTTCTGGGTTTGAAAACACGTATTTATTTAATTTTAACCTAAAATGTTGGTTCACACTGTCTCTTCATATATTTCTGTCTTACTTCATGCTATCGGATTGACTCTGCATCTCGTAAGAATCCCACATTTTCTCCTTAAGCAGCATTGCAGTCAGTGCGTTGAAAATCCTTATCATTTATCATTTACTGGTAATAACGGTAAATGTTGAATACAACACTAACTAACCAGTCTCGTGTTAACGTATGGTCTTGGCCGTGGTTGCATGTTGCGGCTGAATAACTGCCTATGTTCAAGGACGCTCGAGCTCATCTGCTGGTTCCCTGTCGGTGTAGACCTTATCCTACCACTGTTACTGGTTTCTTGTAATAAATTTACAGCCGTTTGTAGAAATCTTGCTGCCTCTGATATGTTTGAATTTTGAGAGTCCGACATGATGCTGTCATCCGGGGTTTGCCAAATGGATGCTGATAGACAATTTCGCGAGATTTTACGTTCCTATGAAAGTACACATTTAATGATGACGTAGAAAAACTTGTGCGCCCTCTAGCGTTATTTCAGGTAATGTCTGTTTTTTTGCACGCCATCTAGCGTCAATTCGGTGAATAAATGTTGGTTTTGCATCGGTGATGCGTTTTGCATCGGAGTCTGTTGATTTGGCAAACGAGTCTGTTGATTTTATTTTAAGGTGGTCTGTTTTGTATTTCAGTATGTTTTTAAAATTAGTTGTTAGTTTTGCATTAACGTCTTTTTTACCCTTTCCGCCGCCCATAGACCTGCCTAAGTACTACTTAAGTATGTCTTAACCGTAACATAAATTAGACTTAGCTAAGTCAAACTTAGGCTCAAAATATTTGTATGAATCATCCTAGTTTTTCAATCTATCTATATATGTATTTGTAAAAATGATTTAGTTACATTTTTTATCACATGTATATTAAAGTTGACGTCCTTACCTATCGGTTTTAGCGAGGTTAGATTAGATTTCTTAATTAAGTAAAATCAATTCTGTTTAAATAGTTCTGAATATTTGAAAACATTTGAAAATATTGCACGCTTACAAAGTGGCAATAGAGGTTCATTGTAAATGCGTGAATATTGTTTATGAGTCGAGACTGTGATGTTTTCAGTTTACCGTTTGTTGTTATTCTTTCGTTTGACAAATGTTCACTTGCTTTCAAATTGTCTTTCTCGCAGACATGGCGCGATAACCGAAGGTCTATATACTTGAAACTCTTAATAAAAAAAGTAAAAGTTGAATTTTGTTCCTCCCATATCAGGAAGCAGAGACTACAGACGTTTTATGATATACTTATTTACAATTTAATGAAGGATGGAAAAGAATTGTTTTCAGAAAAAAATTTTTCGTATATCTCCAACTTACATGTATCAAGAACTCGAACTCTCTCTCGTACGTTAACGGTAGTGAAGCCTGTCTGAATCCTTGCTTGTTGCGTTCTACATTCAATCTAATTTACAGAAAATCTTTATTAGTTTTCTAGTCATCATCCTTTAATTCACCTACAAGGGGCTGGGCTTTCTTGCCAACTTGGGTTGGAACAGTTTACATATTAAAAACCGCGAAGCGCTTTAAAAAAGCGTAAACTGTTCTAACTCAGGATATACAATAACTTTGATAGCTATTTAATCTATTCCCTATAATTTTTTCTATAATTAATAAGTGTAAAAAAGAAGTTAGACAATTTCTCCATCAGAAGGTATACATACTTTACATGTAATGTCAAGCGGATGGATACGTTTTTGACATGTCATTGTGACGTAGACAACACAGATTATACAATATAAACAAATAGTAATTAAATTATACAATTAAAAATCAGTTATATATTGAATCTAACTTGTAACAGTCTAAGCTAAATTTACTAGAGATTCAAATTAATTTATATAATGGCTATTTCAGACTACAATTCTGGATGGTAGAAGTGGCAAAAGTCTACTTAGCTCTCCTATCCTGGATACGATTGGTGCGCAATCCTCTCCCCTGACAATAAGCATGGACGGTTACGGAAATGACATCTATTTATACTGGATATCTGATTGTGAAAAACACGAGGGACAAGAAGAGGCATTTGAATTTGTAAAAGGTATGTGTACTTATAGAATACTTTAAATTAAAAAGGAAAAATGTAAAAACAATTACAACTTATTCCATTAATTTTAGTAAATACTGTGAAATCGATAATTTTCGAAGGGTTTAACGTGTTGAAGAGACACACGAATATGAAAGTAATTTTCAAACATCTAAAACAGCAACCCCTAAACCACGAAATTAAATCCCCATGAATTTTTTTTTTCTTCAAACCACGAAATTATCTGATTTTACAGTATACAAGATGGGTTTGTGAATTTTTATGCCCCGTATGGCTTAATTTTCCAAAATAGTCAAACTCAGAAGTCAAGGTAATGATTAAAAAATATTGAATATTTTTTCAATGGTTTATATTAAAATGAATTATGCAAGGAAAACAAATTAATGTGGCTGATTTATGCTGGGAAGTTGTGGCTCTGTAAAGGTTACATGAAATAATTCAAATGCATATGAGATCAGAAACGTCGAAAGACACCTGAAAATGTGATAGCAATCAAAGATTTTGGGTATATACTTTCTTATCTGTCCGTCCGTCTGCCTGTCTGTTTGTTCGTCCGCAAAAAACTTAAACTTGCTTATAACTTGTGGTTGGTTTGAGCTAGGATTTTCATATTTCACAAGTAAATTTCTTTTGTCAAGAGCTTCCTTGGATACCAACAACTTTGACCCTTTCACCTTGACCTTGGAGTTAGACCTCCTTTTGGAAAAAACAAGATGTGTTTGTGAAACACTGATGCCCCCGTATGGCAACTTATAGCAAAGGTTAAACTTTCTCAAATGCAAATCAAATAGTTGGTACCCAAAGTAAGGTCTTGTGTCGAGGAACATACCTGTGAAATATGAGAGCCCTAGCAGCAACCATTGAATAGATATGGAAAAGGTTAAAGTTTTTTCAAAAGTAAGTCAAACATCCAGGTCAAGGTCAAATTGCCAAAATTAATGGTGCCTAAGGAAAGGCCTTTTCACAAGAAATATACTGGTGAAATATGAAAGCTGAAGCACCAATCGTTCAAAAGTTATGACCAAGGTTTAAGTTTTTCAAAAGAAGGTCAACTCCAAGGTCAAGGTCAATGGATTACAATTGTTGGTTTGCAAAGGAAGGTCTTGTCAAAAGGATTATACATGTGAAGTATGAAAGCCGTGGCACCAACGGTTCAATAGATATGACCAAGGTTAAAGTTATTCAAAAGTAGGTCAAACTCCAAGGGCAAAGGGTCAAAGTTGTTAGTATCCAAAGAAAGGTCTTGTCACAAGGCTAACATGTGTGAAGTATGAAAGCCCTAGCTGCGACGGTTCAAAAATTATGGCCAAGGTCAAAGTTTTTCAAAAGTAGATCAATCTCCAAGGTCAAGGTCAAAGGTGTTGGTATCTAAAGAAAGGTCTTGTCACAAGGATAACATATGTGAAGTATGAAAGTCCTAGCTGCAACGGTTCAAAAGTTATGGTCAAGGTCAAAGGGTCAGAGTTGTTGGTATCCAAAGGAAGGTCTTGTCACAAGGATTATATATGTGAAGTATGTAAGCCTTAGCACCAAACGTTCAAAAGTTATGGCCAATGTTAAAGTTTTTTTTAAAGTAGGTCAAACTCCAAGGTCAAGGTCAAAGTTGTTGATATCCAAAGAAAGGTCTTGTCACAAGGGTAACACATGTGAAGTATGAAAGCCCTAGCACAAATTGTTCAAAAGTTATGGCCAAGGTTAAAGTTGGGTAAAATTTTGCAAAACTGCGCAAACTCTAAGGTCAAGGTCAAAAGGTCAAATATGGTGGTACCCAAAGAAAGGTCTTGTCACAAGGAATACACAAGTGAAATATGAAAGCCATAGCTCCAACCAATCAAAAGTTATGGGCTATGTTAAAGTTTTTGCGGACAAATAAACAGACAGACAGACGGACGGACGGACAGGGCAAAAACTATATACCCCCGAATCTTCGATACGGGGGCATTAAAACATTTCTGGTACTTACTGCTTTGACGTTTAGACCTTGTTCTTTGAGTCTGACCTACTTTTGAAAAAACTTTAACCTTGGCCAAAACATTTTACTGCTAGAGCTTTCATATTTCTCATGTCTTTTTCTTATGACAAGATATTCCCTTTGTTACCATTAATTTGGACCCTTTAACCGTGACCCTTGAGTTATACTTTTGAAAAAACAAAATTTTTGCCATAACTTTTGAACGGTTGATACAAGGGCTTTCAAATTTTACAGGTTTACTGCTTGTGACAAGAGCTTTCATTGTTTTTTTGGCCCTAACCTTGGTGTTTGAGAAACATATCTTCACCAAGAGTTGTCATACGGAGGCATTAGTATTTTACAAATACATCTCGTTTTTTTAAAATAAAACTATCTGGGGATCATGAATAAACTTTCTGGGGTACTTTCATGTAGTATAGGAAAAGTGTTCACAATTCTGTGAAGATGGTTGGTGATAAGAAGCTTTTCACTGAGATATCAAAATGATATTTCTGTCAAACTTTGATTGCAAAAAGAAAAGAAATATTAAGGAGTATGTAAAAGGTGAGGATAACAAAGAGTGATCGATCTCAAACAAAGAGTGATCGATCTCAAACAAAGAGTGATCGATCTATAAACAATACAAATATGTGATGAGGGCATGAAACATGGTGTTCTTTTTATTTAGAATATTTTATCAAAATAAAATCAATATAAATAATATTTACAACATATTTATACGACTATTATGTATAATAAATAAAATCTAAAGTCTCTAGATAGGCCATTCTAGTGTTAACGTTCTACCCACCCACGTCCCAACACCCCCCTTTTACGACGGACTTCCGCCAACTGGCTCCCAGTGGGTTTCCGGTCTGAGTAACTTTGTTGCCACGTGTACCACACAAAATGGCTGGAATATAGTTGGAACCTTTAAATTAACATTTCTAAGACACAGGTTACGTATACCTTAAATAAAACCAGTCATCATTGCACTAATGGCACACCATACAAACAGTAAATATGTAGACAGCGTTAAGAATATACAATTTCTTAACACAAGTGGTTTCAACAGCTAAACCCACAATACCGACTTTATAAACGGCAAAACAAAATACACTGCGTGTGTACAAAACTTCGTACATTGCACAAAAACATAACAATACATGCATGAGTAACTCTACTCAGCAAACCCTGTATAATAAACAGAAACATTACTTAAAGAGACAACGTGACGGACAAACGGGAAAATTGACAAACGTATAATTTTTGGAAGACACATGCAAATTTTATTCAGTTCTTGAAAGTATTAGGTTTCAGAAAATTACAGGTTTCAGAACCTTAAAAAATCTACTTTTAAGGAGAAATATGTAAGTAAAAATAATTTTAGTTTGCTCCAAACAAATATTGCTTCACTTCTTCCTCTTTAAGGTGCGCATGCGCAGAAAAGTTGAGGTAAGTACCATGGTGTCAATTCCATAGATATAAATGTCGGATGACCGAGGATTTTGATATAATCTTCAAACAAGAGGCCCATGGGCCACAATGCTCACCTGAGTAACTTTGGCCTTGCTGTTTTTTCACCTGATTTCCCCCCTTGTAGTACTTATTGTGGCTCCGCCCTACCCCAGGGTCATGATTTGAACGATTTAGAATCTACACAACCCCAGCATGCTTCCACATAAGTTTTAGCTTTTCTGTCGCAGTGGTTCTTGAGAAGATTTTTTAATGACTCCCCCATTTTTGTCTTTTCTTGATTATCTCCCTTTTGAAGGGGACTTGGCCCTTCATTTTAACAATTTAAACTCCCCTTCACCCAAGAATGCTTTGTACCAAGTTTGGTTAAAATTGGCTCAGTGGTTCTTGAGAAGAAGTTGAAAATGTGAAAAGTTTACAGACAGACGGACGAATGAGTGATCAGAAAAGCTCAATTGAGCTTTCAGCTCAGGTGAGCTAAAAAGATGATCAGAACTTATTCCTCGCTTTTGATTGCTCCAATTCAATGTTGTTTACAAGTTTCACGCTAAAAATAAAAGACTTGTGACTTTGACATTGACGATAACAACCACGCCATAGATACAACTTTTCTTTTTCCGGCACTTACATTTTACAGTTTTTTTTGCTTTTACCGTGCAGTTCAGATCTCAAAACTTCGCCTTATTCATATTTCTCATAAATCTTTAGCTTTGTGATACAATTATCTTAAAAGAAACGCATGCAATTGACTCACTATGTAACTTTAACCCAAGTTCTTACAAAGTTTTACGTCTTAAGTGTAGCATCCAAAAAAAAAAACAAACTAAATTATATAAGAAAAAAATAACTAACCCCTTATGGAGAAATAGTTACCGTACAGAAATTAACAACACATCTAGGACTGTAGTACCTCAAGCATGTAAAAAGTATGAAAACGTGGATCCCGGCTACGTGGTCAGCAATGCAGCGATTTAAATACCCCTCATACAATAGTCCGTAACTGACCAACGCTTGCAAATTCTAAACTTAAGGCTCATTAAAAGTAACAACATAAAAAGGTCCAGTAAAGGAAAATAAGTAAAACCATAAACATAAAAAACAATCATGATTAAATATTGATTGTGACACATGGACCCCTGGAAATTCCAGAGGGATCAGGTACAAAGGAGAAGCATCCCTTTCTGACCGGTCCCCCCGTGAGCCCTATGTATTAATCAGGTAGAAATCATTGTTTTATTTAATGAATGTTTAAGACATTCCTTTTAAAATATGGTTTCAGCTTTAATCGTCATGTCCGTCCATCTACCTGTCTGTTGTCCGCAAAAACTTTAACCTTGCTTATAACATTTGATTGGTTGGAGCTATGGCTTTCGTATGTGTATTTCTTGTGATAAGACATATCTTTGAATACCAACATATTTGACATCTTGGCCTTGACCTTGAAGTTTGAGCCATGTTTGCAAGAATTAACCAGACTTTTAATATTGACCATAACTTTTGTACAGTTTGTGCTAGGGTTTTCATATATAGATCATGTGTTTATTCATTGTGACAAGACCTTTTCATG